AGGGAATGTCCCCAAGCCTGTCCCAGGGATGGATCCCACCCAAGGACACCCCAAAACCTCCCCGGACACCCCATTCCACCCTAATCCCATCCAAAACACTCTAACCATACCCTGATCCCATCCCAGGACACATTCATCCCACCCATAAAACCCCAATCCCCACCTCAGTCCCACCGCAGGACACCTCAATCCCACCCCAGGGACATATCCCACCCCAATCCCCCTCTGTGCCCCCAGACCAAGGACGTCACCACAGCCATGAACGAGGGACGCTTTGAGGACGCGGTGAAGCTGCGGGGCCGGTGGGTGGCATCTCCATGTCCCTGTCCCTGCAACCTCAATGTCCTCAAAATGTCTCAAAAACCTCAACTTCCCCAATTTTTAGGAGCTTTCAGAACAACTGGAATGTCTACAAGCTGCTGGCTCACATCCGCCCGCCTGCCACCAAGGTAGGGGGCACTGGGGAGTGCACGGGGAGGGGCCTGACCCGGGACACCCCAATTCCATCCCGGGACACCCCAGGCACGGATACCACCCCTATCCCAATCCAACCCAAATCCCACCTGGGACACCCCAGGCATGGATACCACCCCTATCCCATCCCAATCCAACCCCAATCCCACCCGGGACACCCCAATCCCCATGTCCCTGACCCCAGAGTGGGTACACGGTGGCCGTGATGAACGTGGGCGCTCCGGCCGCGGGGATGAACGCGGCCGTGCGGGCGACCGTGAGGATCGGCCTCATCCATGGCCACCGGATGCTCGCGGTGCACGACGGCTTCGAGGGGCTGGCCTTTGGGATGGTGAGAGTCCAGAGGGGAACGGGGTGGGGAAAGGGTGAGGGAAGGGTCTGGAATGTGGAGATTCCAGAGGAGAAGGGGTTTGGGATGGTGAGATTCCTACAGGGAATGGCGTTTGGGATGGATTTGAGGGTCCGGCATTTGGGATGGTGAGGGTCCTATGGGGGAAAGGAGCTGGGATGGGGAGATCCCTATGGGATAAAGGGGTGGCCAGGGCACGATGGATTTGAAGGGCTGCATTTTGAGATTGTGAAATTCCTATAGGGAAAAGGGTGAGAAAAGGGGGTGGGAAGCGCAGCATGGTTTTGAGGGACTGGAGATGGGTTTGAAGGGTTGGGTTTTGGAATGGGGAGATCCCAGTGCAAAAAGAGTCTGGGAATAGAGTTGGGGAAGTGCAGGATGGATTTGAGGGGTTGGATTTTGGGATGGGGAGATCCCTGTGGGACAAGGGTGCAAGAAAAGGGCCTGGGCAGGGGCAGCTGTGGCACTGCAGGGATGGAGATTCCTCAGGAATTCCTCAGGATGGGGGTGTTTAACCCCTGTCCAAACCCCAGCCCTGCTGTGAGTCTGATCTGCTGCTGTCCCCAAGCCAGGGGACATTGTGTGACCTCCAGAGAGGGCTGAGGGGACAGTGTGGCCCCAGTGTCACTCTGATAGGGCCAAGGGGAGCCAGCCAGTGTGACCCCAGGTCCTTCTCCCACCCCACTAAATCTGTTTCACCCCCCAGGTGGAGGAGATCGGCTGGAATACTGTGGGCAGCTGGACAGGACTGGGAGGATCCAAACTGGGCACCAAGAGGTGACTCCCTGCTCTGTGTGGGGTCATTTGGGGTCTCTCTGGGGTCCCCCTCTGGTCAGGCTCATCCAGAGGAGTTTCCCCTTCCCAGGACTCTGCCCAAGAAATATTTTGAGGAGATCAGTGCCAACATCAGCAAATTTGGGATTCATGGTCTTGTCATCATCGGTGGCTTTGAGGTCAGTGGGGTGTGGGCAGGTGAGGGCAGCGGGGTGTGGTCAGAGCATGGCTGGGGCATGGTCAGGGTGGGGTCAGTGTCCCCTTGCTATCCCCCAGGCATTTCACAGGCAGCCTGGAGCTGGTGGAGGGCCAGGTCTGGTCAGTGTTCCCACTGTTCCTCTCCTCTCTGCATTGTCTCCTGATGTCCCCATTGTCCCTCAGGCATTCACGGGTGGCCTGGAGATGGTGGAGGGCCGGGCACGCTTCGAAGAGCTCTGCATCCCCCTGTGCATCGTGCCCGCCACTGTCTCCAACAACGTCCCCGGCTCCGACTTCAGCATCGGCGCCGACACTGCCCTCAACACCATCACCACCGTGAGACCCCAGATACCTCCCCAAAATCCCCCCTATCCCAAACACCATCATCACTGTCAGACCCCAAATCCCCAACACCATCACCACAGTGAGATCCCAAATTCTGTATCCCATATCTGTCCTGATCCCAAACACCATCACCACAGTCAGATCCCAAATTCTGTATCCCATACCTGTCCTGATCCCAAACACCATCACCACAGTGAGATCCCAAATTCTGTATCCCATACCTGTCCTGATCCCAAACACCATCACCACAGTGAGATCCCAAATTCTGTATCCCATATCCGTCCTGATCCCAGACACCATCACCACAGTGAGATCCCAAATTCTGTATCCCATATCCGTCCTGATACCAACCCACAGTGAGATCCCAGTGAAGTCCCAAATTCCTCTGATCCCAAAGCACTTCTCCCACCACTATCCCCACTCTGAGACCTGATGGAAATCCCCCAAGTCCCCTGACTTTAAACCACTTTTCCTGACCCCAAATCCCCCATTTCATGTGACCTGATCAAGCAGTCTGCAGTGGGCACCCCAAATTCCCTGACCTAAATCACAACCTCAAATCCCCTGGCCCTAAATCTCTTTTCCTGACCCCAAATCCTGTCCCCACTGCAGACGTGTGACCTCATCAAGCAGTCGGCTGCAGGCACCAAGCGCCGCGTGTTCATCATCGAGACCATGGGCGGCTTCTGTGGCTACCTGGCCACCATGGCTGGGCTGGCAGCCGGCGCCGATGCCGCCTACATCTTCGAGGAGCCCTTCAGCAGCCGTGACCTGCAGGTGGGACAGTCCTGTCCCCTGTCCCCACTGTCACCAGGGTGGTGTGGAATGAGGTTTCCATTCCTGACTCCACTCCTGACCCCATTCCCAACCCCAAAGGCCAACGTGGACCACCTGACGGAGAAGATGAAGACCACGGTGAAGAGGGGGCTTGTGCTCAGGTGGGCCCTGGCTTTGGGAGGGACCTCACGTCACGCCCGTGGGGATTGGGTTTGGGATCAGGGGAACTGGGCTCTCACTGTGGTGATGGGTTAGAAATGGAAGATTCAGAGTCTTGTCATGGTGCTGCTGTTTGGGATCAGTGGAATTGTTTGGGATGGGGTGAACTGTGGGATTTGGGCCTGATCCTGTCCCTGCTGTAGGAATGAGCGCTGCAATGAGAACTACACCACAGATTTCATCTACAACCTCTACTCTGAGGAGGGCAAAGGGGTTTTTGACTGCCGGAAAAATGTCCTGGGGCACATGCAGCAGGTGGGAATGGGGTGAGGGTTTGGGAATTCCCGAATAAGATCAGTGTTCAGGGGATTTCCCTGGGAATGGGATCAGGATTTGGGGGATTTCACTGGCTCATCCTGGATTCTCCTGGGGCAGGGAGGCAGCCCCACCCCCTTTGACCGTAATTTCGGCACCAAGATGGGCGCCAAGGCCGTGGCCTGGATCACCGGGAAGATCAAGGAATGCTCCCGGCATGGTGGGTGCTGCTGGATGGGGGATTCCAAAAGGACCCCAGAGTGACCCCACATTCCCAAACCATTCCCAAAAGGCCCTCCAGCAGATTCTGGGGGGTGTTCCCCACTCCTGGATGATCCCAATCATCCCTATCCTCTTCTCCCATGTTTCTGGAAGGTCCAAATATTCCCAACCTACCCTCCCACAGGTTTTTCACCTTCGGAGCATCCCAAAGCTTCCCAACCCCTGCTCCAGGAGGATCCCAAACATTCCCAAATTCTCCTCCCAGGTGTTCTCCCATCCCTGAAGATTCCCAACCATTCCCACCCTTCCCCCCATGTCCCTGGAGGACCCCAGGTATTCCCAACTCGCCTCCAGGAGGTTCCCAAACGTTCCCATGTTCCTCCCAGGCCGGATCTTTGCCAACACGGCTGACTCGGCGTGCCTGCTGGGGATGCGCAAGCGCAGCCTGGTGTTCCAGCCCATCGCTGAGCTGCGCCAGCAGACGGATTTCGAGTGCGTGTCCCTCCCTGTCCCTCCCTTCCCCACCCCGGGAAAGTGGGATAAAGCCGGGGATCCCTCCCCAGGGATGTCCCCAGCCTGTCCCTGTCTCCTCAGGCACCGCATCCCCAAGGAGCAGTGGTGGCTGAGGCTGCGGCCCATCCTCAAAATCCTGGCCAAGTACAACATCGAGCTGGACACGTCAGAGACGGCGCACCTGGAGCACCTGACCCGCAAGGTCCTGGTCCCCGAGGCCACCCTGTGACAGGGACAGCGGCCACTTGCCAGCCTGAGGAACCCCAAAAATCCCCTTTTCCCTCAGCAGCCTGTGGCTTTTGGGGCAATTTATGGGATTTTGAGAAGCGGTCCCCAAGAGATGTCATGATAAATTGAGGATGGATGGTGGAGGTAGAGGTTTTTAGGGTTAGAAGTCACAAAATGGAGATGTTTCAATAAATTCAGTGCTTGTCAAAGTGCTCCAGGTCTCTGTGAATCCATGGAAAGGCAAACCTAGACCCCACTGACACCAAATCCCTCCTGATCCTCAGGATTTCCCTGCGCAGCATAACAGAGAGGGATAAAAGAGGTAGAATTTGAGCTTTCATCCCCAGGTTCATCCCACAAAATAAAAACAACAGGTTTTAGCTGCTTGGTTTCACCTTGGAGAGCTGCTCTTCCATTGCATCCCAAAAAAAACCTCAAACCAACACCAAAGGGTGAATTCCTGGTGGGAAACCTCAGGAAGAGATTGAAGAGATGGGAGAGAAGCCCTCAGCTCCACATGGAGCTCTCTGGAGAAGATTTCTTTCACCCACAAGAATTCCAGCCCTGCAAAATTTTGATTTTTGAGGTGGTTTCACTCTTGATGCAACATAAAATTATGGATAAACAGGGAGAACTTCACTCTCCATGCTGGAGAAACACGTGGATCTTTGATTTTCAGCCAACACATCCTACAGGATTACTCTGCACCCCAACCCACCATTTCTTGCCTTGGCTCCTTCCTGAGAGACTTTTTCTTTAATACCTTCTTTTCGGAAGGCAAAAAAACACAAAAAAAGGGGAAAACCAGATTAATCCAACAGCTGGGATATAATTTGCCATCAGAGGGATATTGTTCATGGCAGGAGAGTAAAAGAGGGGGGGACAGGGAGAGAAGCAGAGAGAACAGAGAGGAGGAAACGGAGGGAGCATGAGAGGACGGGGAGGAATGGAGGGGACAGGGGGATGAAAGGGAGGCAGTGTGAGGTGCCAGCAGGGTCCGGGGTGGCCGAGGGGAACAAAAACCACGGAGAGGAACCTGGGAGGTCACAAAGTGAGCGGCGGGCGATCCAGGGGAAGGGCAGGTGTCCCTCCCTCAGGTGAGCAGCAGCAGGTACTCCTTGAGGCAGGCGGGCAGCGGCAGCTGCTGCACGGCCTGGGGCAGGAAGCGCAGGCCGAGCGAGCGGCGCACGGCGTAGCGCGACAGTGCCTGCAGCGTGCCCGGCGCCGAGCACAGCAGCGTCAGCCGCTGGCACAGCTGCGGGTCCCGGGCCACCTCCCAGGGCAGGCTCCCGTTCTTGCGCAGCTCAAAGTGTCCCGTGGCTCTGTGCAGCAAATCCAGGCAGGAATCCTCCCGCTCCGTGCCCAGGCCCCGCACCAGCAGCGCCACCAGGCGCGAGATGGGGCTCTGGCCCTTCAGGTTGACCACGCGCACCTCGGCGCCGAAGTCCAGCAGGACGCTGACGCTCTCCAGGTTGCCCTTCATGGCTGCCCAGCTCAGGGGGGTGTCGTTGTTGTAGTCCAAGGCGTTGACCAGGGCGCCGTTGGCCAGCAGGGCCCGCACGCACTCGGCGTTGTTCTTGAAGGCCGCCCAGTGCAGCGGCGTGTCCTTGTTGCCGTCCAGGGCGTTGGGGTTGGCTCCGTACTCCAATAAAATCTCCACGCAGGTTTCATCTTTTTCTGCTGCGTAGTGAAGGGCTGTACGGTTGTAGCCATCCAGGGCATTCACCTGGGGGAGAAAAAAACGGTTTGGGGGTCGGCTGGATCCTGCAGCAAGGGAAGAGTCAAAGGTCCCAAATTCCAAATGCAGGGAAAAATCAGGAAGGGTTTTAGCCCAGTAGCCAGGGGAAAGTGGGGTAAAAAATCCAGCAAATTTAGGGTTTAATTCTTCCTTCCCAGCCTCCTGAAATCTCAGTGCAAAAATTTAGGTTTCAATCCTACCTCCTCCCCTTCCCAAAACCTCAGTGCAAACATATAGGTTTTAATCCTCCTTCCTCACCCTCCCCAACAGCTCAGCACAAAAATTTAGGTTTCAATTCTTCCTCCGCTCCCAAAATCTCAGCCCAAGAATCCAAGGACAAGGAACCTACCCCTGGTGCCACTTTGTGAGGGGATACAAGCCCATGGAATATCCTGGGCTACAAAGATCACCAAATCCAAGCCCTGGCCCTGCAGAGGACACTAAAAAAAATCCCCCCACTATGCTGGGAGCATTGTCCAAACCCCAGCCCCTGGAGCTTCTGCCCCATGACACTCTGGGGGAGGAACTTTTTCCCAAAATCCAACTTAAACACATCAGCTCTAACCCCAGCTGTTTATCAGCTCCTCCCGTCTTCCCTGCCTCTTATTTTGGCATTTTCCACTTGTTTTCAGTTTTTCCAAAGCTTTACCTCAGCTCCTTTTTGCAGCAGCAGCTCCACGCAGTCGGCATCAGCCACCATGCAGGCACAGTGCAGGGGTTTGAGGGTGCCGTGCAGGCAGTTCACATCGGCGCCCTGGGGAGCAGAGGAACCCCCCGTCAGGAACTCCCCCCTTTCCATCCCTTCAGAAAGGGATAAATCACATAAATCCCCACCCTTTCCCTGCCCTTCCCATCCCTTCAAGAAAGGCTTAATTAAGAGAAAACCAGTGTAAGAATGTTGTAAGAATGCTCCCAGTCTTAATCCTGGCTCCTTTCACCAATTCACCGGCACCAAACGGTGCCCGGAGACCCCCGGAGACCCCCCCGGCCCCGAGGGTCCGGAGGGTGGAAGGAAAAGCCTAGAGTCTCTAAACCAACCAGAGATGCCCTGATCTTCCCCTCTTGGGAGCTGAAAACCTCTCCAGACTCCCCACGGAGGCTCCGCAGGGAGCGGGACAGGTGGGGACAGCTCAGCAGCGCCCGTCAGAGGGACCCGGAGTCCTGGGGGTGCCAGCGCTCAGGAGCACACATCATCACGGGATATGATTATATGCAGGTGCTTTTATTGAGAGCTCTGGGAAACAGGGGTACAGACCCAAATCTGACTCCAACATGGCTTTCGAGCTGAACGTATTTTATATTCTATGGTTATATAACTTACATATTAATTATTAAACTTATATTGTTCTATTGTATACATTGACTTTATTCAAGCATGAGTTTCTCGTGATCTTTCTTAGGCCCCTGACCAGTTTCTCATTATTATTCTTACGATTAAACAGTAATTATATTTAATTACTAAACAATCATCACATCTAACAATTTTGTCATTTATCATCTACTAGCTACACAGGTGCAGTTCTAGCAAAGTACAAGGCCTACAGGTACCCAGGGTATTATTTTTTACAGGGCCTACTAAACTTAATTTTCCTTTTAACCGTAAATCCCCATGACTTTAAAACCCTTTTATTATCAGGGGGACTCCAGCAGGCCGGCCCGGCCGAGGAAGGGGCTGGGATGTCCCGGCCACGGGGCCTCACCCGGCCGATGAGATCCTCCACGTTGTCCCGAGGGAAGGAGCGGATGGCGGCGATGGTGCGGATGAGGCGCTCGGACAGCGAGTACTTGCTCTGAATGCTCTGCATGATGTACCACATGGCGCGGGCCGCGCCGCGGCATCCCCGGCCGGCCCCGCCGAGCGCCGCGGCGGGGAGGGAGCGGCCCGGGCCGGACCGAGCCGAGCCGCAGGAGAGTCCGGAGGTGGGGCCGCGGCTGCTCCGGAGGAATCCGGGGCGGTTCCGGGGCGGTTCCGGGGGGCCCGAGCCGCTCCCGGAGCGCTCCGGGATCAGCGGCGGCCCCGGCAGAACGCGGAAACGCCGCTAACCGGAAGTGACGTCACGCCAGATGCCCCGCCCGCCCTCCTCGCCACAAATCCGGCTCCGGCGCCCCCGCTGGTCCCGCCCCCTCTGTTTATTTCCGCCAATCCGCAGCACCGGCCGCCCTTAAGCCGCGCCCCCTACGGGATTTCCACCAATCCGCGCTTTCCTGAGCTCACGAAGGCCCTCCCTCTCCTCCACAGACGCCCCCCGATTTCCCCCCGCATCCCGCTTCCCCTCGGCCACGCCCACACCGAGCCACCAACCAATAGGGATGCAGCACCGCAACCGCGAAACGAACGGGGGCGGGGCGGCGCTGTGGAGGCCACACAAATGGCCCCAAAATGGCCCCAAAATTGGCATTCTTTTAATTCCTTTTTAGCTTCTTCTGCCTCCAGCCAACTCCAAGGAAGGTCCGGAACTCCTGTCCAGGAGCCTCGGATCCCGTCAGAGGTCCTTGTTTGTCCTTTATGGCCGTGGGTTGAGATCCCACTGGGAGCGCCCGCCCCTCGCCAGCCGCAGAGCAGAGCCCTATGTAAAGGAGAATAGTCCTGGCTACCGCATTTTGGGGAGTGGCTACTGAATTCTGGGGCGGTTTGGAGGGGAGGGGTGGCCTCTGAATTTCGGGAATAGCTACTGCATTTGGAGGTTTTATCTTGATTTAGGAGGAAAAGGGATGGGACAAGGGAGGGGCACCGAGGCGGGGATGGAGCTGGGGTCCTCCCAGTGCTCCCAGTATTACCCAACCCCTTCCCAGTAACCCAAACACCCCCTCCCAGTGCTCCCAGGAGCCCAGATTCTCTCCCATTAACCACCTGCCCCTTCCAGTCCCTCCCAGTAACCCCCTCCCAGTGCCCCCAAGTCCCGCCTTGGCCTCCCTATATCCCCTCCCAGTCTCTCCCTGCTTATCCCAGTCCCCCCAGATTCCGCTCTCCGTGTCTCCTGGTTTATCCCAGTCCCCTGCCAGTTCCTCCCAGTGTCCCCAGTACCTGTCCCTCGCTTGTCCCAGCCAGGGGGGTTACTAGGAGGGAAAAGGGGTGTTAGAGGTTTTTGAGGTCATCCCGTAGACCGGGGTCAGCACTGAGGGGCTTCTCTGTGAGGGCTTGGGGTCCTGCAGGGGGTTTGGGGAGCTCTGGGCTCCTTCCGTGGGGGTTTGGGGTCCCTAAGGGAAGATATCAGGAGATATCAGGGGTTTGGGATCACACCATGGGGGTTTGAGGCCCTATATGAGCTTTTAGGGTTCCTCCTCAGAGATAAGGAAAGGGAGTGGGGCTTGGAGCTGAAGGGCGGGGCTTGGGGCATTATTTTGGGGTAAATCCTGTAGGATTTGGGGTCGCTCACCCATGCCCGAGGCTAGAGGGGTCCCTGAATTTCTGTAGGCTATGCCAACCTGTGGGGGAGAGCAAACCATTATGGGAACCCCCCTGATTTGTGGTGGCCCCCATCTGGGGTGAGATGTCACCTGCCATCCTAGGGTGCTGCGGGACTGAGGGGGCTCCAGTGGGGCCAAGCGGCTGCAAAAGAGAGGTGGGAGGTTTGGGGGACCCCCCTGTGCAACTGAGGGACCCCCATCCCAATTTAGGATGCCCTCCCCCCCTTACCTGACCACTTGACTGCTGAGCTGCCGGCGGGGCTGGGGGGTCACTGGAAAGAAGATGGAAAATTTGGGAGGACCCCTATGAGCAAGGAGAGGATGGGGAGGTGTTTTAGGGTGTGGAAGACCCCCTTAAAAATTTGGGGGGCACTTACCTGACTGTGTGGGGGAGGGACGGGGGGTGCTGCTGCGGCTGCTCCAGAGCCAGGCTGGGGAGAGCTGTGAGATTTGGAGAGCAGTTTTGTGTGTGGGGGGGAAGTTTAGGGGGACAGTTTTGGGGGTGAGGGAAGGGGCAGGGGGGCTTTGGGGACAGTTTGGAGGCCAGGGAAGGGGCAGAGGGATTTTGGGGGCCACCTGCATGCGGCGCAGCTCCTCATTCTCCCGGCGAAGTGACTCCAGCTCCCTGGGAAGGGGGAGGATTTAATGGAGGATGGGAATTCCCCTCATTTGGGGTGGGGGTCCCTCCATAGGGAAGCTGAGGGGGGCAGAGCAAAGGGGTGGAAGCTCACCAAGATGGCAGAACATGCTGTCACCAGTGTGGCAGCCAAGGGGGGGTAAACCCTCCCAAAAAAATGGCCAGAAGGATGAGGACTCTCATCAAGATGTTGACCAAGGAGTGCTGCATCACCCATATGCTCAGAGGAGCCCAATATGGAGGTGTGAACCTCTTACCATGGCATCCCCCTCACCTCGTCCTCTCCCTCAGCTCCTCTCTGGCCTTCTCCATCTCTGCCTGCGCCCGCCGAGCTTTGTCCTGGTGCAAGTCCAGCAGAATCTGTGCCTGTGCTGTCTGGAACCGCCACACCTGGGGGACATGGGTCACCCCGTTGTACCCCCTGAGCGTGTGGGGCTGGGGACAGTGGTGGAAGCTCACCACCTGTGTCCTCCTCACCTGCGTGATGTGGGCAAGGTGCTTGAGGGCGGTGGCCACCGGGTTCTTGAAGAAAACCTTGTCCTGTGGGCGCATCTGTTGGGCATGGGGGAGTCAAAAGGATGGGAAGAAGGTTGGGAAACAGGACGGGAAAAGGGTGGGAAGGGAATCTGGGGCACAACATGGCAGACACCGGCCTGTTCGGACACGGGCAGGTAGCGGCAGGCAGTGCCACAGACTGGGCAGGGACCTGTAGGAGGGGGAGAAAAAAGTGAGAAAATGAGGGAAAAAGATGTCTAAAAGTCTCCAAAATGTTGTTCCTTGAGGGAAATGGACCATTGCCCCTCATTTTAGGGTTTTAAATTTAGGCAGGATCCTCCATTTCCACAATGCTAAGGGTGTACATTGAGGGAAGATCATCCTTTTTCCATCATTTGAAAGACAAAAATTGAGGAGAAACACTCTTTCCCCGATATTTTAGGGGTTTATATTGAGGGCTGAGCCCTCAATTATTTATTTGCTTGAGTTGAGGTGACCCCTCCTTTCCCTCTCATTTTAGGGGCTAAATTGAAGGAAACTCCCCCTTTCTCAGCATTTTAAGGGTTTAAATTGGGGGTTTTCCTCAACTTTACCTGTGCTCCCACAGCCCTCGCACAGGATGTGGCTGCAGTTGGTGATGGCGAACTGGGTGCCATCCTGGCGGAAGCAGCGGCTGCAGTGGAACCAGTCCATGGCGGGGCCGGGGTGAGGAGCCGCCTCTGAGGCCTCCACACCTGAGAGCCTGCGAGAGAAGGAGGGGGAAAGGTGAAGGGAAAAGATGAAAGGGTGGGGGGAAAAAAGGGTGAGAGAAAAAAGGGATGGAAATGTGAGGGGGAAAGGGTCAGAAGTGTGAGGGGAAAAGGGCTGGGAAGCGTGAGGGGAAAAACGGCGGGAAATGTGAAGGATGAAAGGGCGGGAAAGTTGAGGCGGAGGAAGGGCAGTAAAAGAGAAAGGGGGGGAAATTGAGGGGAAAAAGCAGCAGGAAAGGTGAGACGAAAAAAAAGGGTGGGAAATGTGAGGGGGAAAAAACAGCAGGAAAGGTGAGAGAAAAAAGGGTGGGAAATGTGAGGGAGAAAAGGGCGGAAAGGTGATGGAGGGAAATGGTGGGGGAAAAGGAGAGAAAAAGAGAAAGAAAGGGGAGCGATGAAAAAAATGAGAAATGTGAGGGAGAAAAGGGCCACCTGGATGGGGACTGGGAAACCAGGATTGGGACATCAGGATGGGGACAGCGACATCTGGACCTGTAGGGGCAGATGGGGATGGGGATAAGGATACCAAGATGGAGACATTGGTGGGACCAGAGTTTTGAGGTGGTGCAGGGGGAGCACCCCAAAGCCCCGATCCTACTATTCCATGCTCCCAGAAGCACTAAATCCTGCTAAATATTTGGCTGTGTTGTGTAATTCCAACAATTTTTAACTGGGGATATGGGGGGCAGGAAAAGCACGCCCAGAACATTGGGGGAGGGCCTCAGGATCTGGAGGGTGCAGGAGGCACCCCAGAACTGCAATCCTACCAGCACCCGATCCCAAAATTCCTCCATGCCACTGTTGAACCCTCTGGCCTCGCTGGGCAATTCCAACAATTTTTAATTCTAGGTATGGGGTGTGGGGGACGACGGACAGACAGAAATGCATTCCCAGGCACTCTTGAGGGAGAATCTGGGGGGCACAGGGGACACCCCAAAACCCCGAACCCACTACCCCCCAATCTCTCTATCGGGATCCTGTGATCCATCATTGTGTAATTCCAACCGTTTTTTATTCCCAGGGGCTGGGGCAGGAAACGCCCGAATAAAACCCTCTGGAGGGGGATGTCATTCAGGGATTTGGGGTGCGCAAGGGACACCCCGAAGCCCCGATCCCGCTGTTCCCGGAATCCCTGGATGCCGCTGCCGAGCCCTCCGCCCTGGTTGCGTAATTCCAACCATTTTTAATTCCCGGGGGGACAGGAAACGCGTCGCTGCCGTTACACAAAGCAGGAAGAGGGGAGGGAGAAGTCTGGGGGGTGCCCTGTCCTTAGTCCCCCCAAACCCACCCTGCCCATCCCCCCCAGATCCATCTCCCGCTTGGAAAATACCCCCCCTTCCAAAAATAACAAAACCCAACAATTCGGGCAATTCGCACAATCCCCCCCCACTCAAAACCGGGCGGCTCGGGGGTGTCCCTGCTGGGGCTCGCCCTTTTTCCCCCTCTTGGGGCTCCCCTCGCCCAAATTCCCGTTTTTCCAAGGTTTCCCCCCCACTTTTCCCAGCGTTTTCCCCCCGCTTTTTTTCCAGCGGCGCATCCGGCGGGGAATGGGATGACGGGACCTTCCTGTTCCCGGCCCCGCGCCCGCCCCGCGCCCGGGGGACACCCCCGCCACGAGCCCCCCGCAGCCCCGAGCCCGACGGGACCCCCGGAGCCTCCCCCGGCGCCCTCCGGAACGCCCCCGGCCCCTCCCGCGCCGCGGAGCCGCCGAGGTGAGTCCGGGGGCGCGGGGACAGGGAAACGCCGTTTTTGGGGGGGAAGGTAAGGGGAAAGAGCGGAGACAGCCCCCTCCAAAAAACTGGGGAGATCCTCCACTCCGCCTCCAATTTGAGATACCCCGATGTTGGATTTGGGATGAGGGAGGCAATGGCGGAGCCGTTTTGGGGCTGGAAATGAGGGAAAAAGGAGAGTGGGAACCCTCCCACAAAAAAACTGGGAGGACACCCCCCCCCCCCCAATTTAAGATACCCCGAGCTTGGATTTGGGATGGGGAGGCGATGGCGGAGGGGTGGCAAAAGATTTGGGGCGGGGGCGATGTGGATGAACGGCGGGTTTCGGGGATGGAAAGGGGAGGGAAGAGAACGGGGACCCCCTCCCCAAAAAATAAATCTGGGAGATCCCCCCTCGTCCGACTGGAGATTCCAGGGGATAAAGGGGAACGATGGATTGGAGGCGAGGGGGTGTGGTGGGGCGATGGAAATGAGACGCCGTTTATAGGGTTGGAAAAGATGGAAGGAGAGTGGGGAACACTCCTGCCCCCACAAATTTAGGAGATCCCTCTCCGATTGGGGATATCCCCGGTCTTGGATTTGGGGAGGGGGAGGTGATGGCAGGAGGCAGTGGAAGGGGAGGGGGGAGGTGCTGTTTTTAGGTTTGGAAAAGAGGGGAAAAGGAGAGTAGGGACCCCTCACAAAAATCTGGGAGGCCCCTTCTGCAGTTGTGGGTAACCTCCGTCTTGGATTTGGGGTGGGAGGGGAGATGGATTTGGGCCTGGGAGGAGTGATCAGGCGCTGGTTTTGGGGGGCAGAAGGGGGGGGAATGAGAGTGGGGACCCCCTCCAAAAAATTTGTGAGACTCCCCCAAAAAATTTGGGTTACCTCCATGTTGGATTTGAAGTGGGGGGACTGTGGATAAGCCATTTTGGAAGGAGGGGCAAGAGAGTGGGAACCACTCAAAAAAACCTTAGAGTCCCTCCCAGTATTCGATTTGGAGTGGGGGGTGAATTTTGGGGAAGGTTCCTGGGGCTTTGTTGTTCTTTTGTGCCCCCTTCCCAAAATTAAAGGGAGGGGAGCAAACCTGGGGGGACTGGGAGTAATTTGGAGGCACCCTGGGTGATCTGGGGGGTCCCGGGTGATTTTGAGGGGCGCTGACCCCCTGAGACCCTCAAAGAGCAGATGGGGGGAATTGGGGAGTATAGGGTGATTGGGGGAACAGGGATATTTGAGGGGGCACTGAGGGATTTGGGATCACATGGAGGAGTTTGAGGTTACACTGAGGGATTTGAGGAGGGGACATGAAGAGATTTGGGGTGACACAGAGAGATTTTGGGGGAACAGATGGGCTGGGGGGCAGAGAGATTTTTGGGGGGCTGAAACTTAGGAGGACATGAGGGGATTTGGGATCACCCTGAAGGATTTGGGGGGGTAACACAGAAGGATTTGGGTGGGGTACATGGAAATTGAGGGGGTCACATGGAGGATTTTAGAGTCACCCTGAGAAATTTGGGGGGTGCAGCAGGAGCCAGGATGCAAACAGTCCTTTGGAATGGGGGCTGGCTGTGGGTTTCTGCTGCACAGAGGGGTCCTGGGGTGTTTTGGGGTGCTCAGGGCCCTCCTTGACGCTGCAGTCCCCACAGGAGCCCTCATGGAGCAGGACGAGCCAGACGTGGTGGAGCTGCAGGACTCGGATGAGGGGGACGTGGTCCGGAGGGTCTTCATTGGTGAGGGGGGACCCCAAAAGTGGATGAGGGGGTTGGGGGGCTCCAGGTAACCCAGAAAGGCAGTAGAGGAAACTTGGGGGGCTCCAGACACCCCAAGAAGGGGATGCAGGCAAATCTGGGGGGACTCCAGACACACCTAGAAGGGGGTAAAGGCATTTGGGATGGGGTTCAAGGCACTTCTGGGGGTCTCCAGACACCATTGGAGGGGGTTAGAGGCATTTCAGGGGGTCTTAAAACACTGTTGAGGGGGTTCCAGATCCCCCAAGAAAGGGAATAGGGAATTTTGGGGGCCTTCAGGTACTTTTGGGGGGCTCCAGGCACTCCAGGAGAGGGCACAGCCTCCTTTTCGGGCACAGTGAGCATTTGGGGAGGGGATCCAGTCCCTTTTTGGGTCACAATGAACATTTGGGTCAGGGGCTCAATAAATATTTGAGGAGAAGGCCCTGCCCGTTTTTGGGTCACAACAACCATTTGGGGAGGGGTCCCAGCCCCTTTTGGGTCACAGCAAATATTTTGAGGAGGCTCCAGGCAAACTGGGGAGGCTCCAGGCACCCTTTTAGTGCACAATGAGCATTTGGGGAGGGGGCCCAGCCCGTTTTAGGAATAAAATAAACATTTATGTCAGGGTCCCAGCCCCTTTTAGGGTCACAGCAAACATTTGGTGTGGAGGTCCAGCCCCTTCTGTGCTCTCACCCCCAGCCGATGACGGCATCGTGAGCGACGGCGAGGCCGAGGTGCTGCCGCACGAGATCATCCGCACGGTGATCCCGCACGGCCCCCTGTGCCCCCCGCCGCCCCGCGGGACCCCCGCCCCGGCCCCGGGGGGCTCCGAGGAGGGCGGGGGGCGGCGGGGCGCGGGCCGCCAGCGCCCCTTCATCTGCAACGAGTGCGGCAAGAGCTTCAGCCACTGGTCCAAGCTGCTGCGGCACCAGCGCACACACACGGGCGAGCGGCCCAGCACCTGCGGCGAGTGTGGCAAGAGCTTCTCGCAGAACTCGCACCTGGTGCAGCACCGCCGCACCCACACCGGGGAGAAGCCGTACAGGTGCGGCCACTGCGGCAAGAGCTTCTCCTGGAGCTCCAACCTCATCCAGCACCAGCGCATTCACACCGGGGAGCGCCCGTACGGCTGCGCTGAGTGCGGCAAGAGCTTCACGCAGAGCAAGAACCTCATCAAGCACCAGCGCACCCACGCCGGGCCAGGGGCAGCGCGGCCGCGGCGCTGCGCCCACCCTGCAGGTGCCCCAAGGGCGCTGAAGGGGCCTCGGGCGGGGGGCGAGGGCGAGGGGCCCGCGGGGGCCTCGGGCGGCTGCGGGCAGGAGCCGCTGATCTGCGTGGAGTGCGGGGAGAGCTTTGCCCGGAGCGCCGCGCTCAGGAGGCACCGCCGGGGACACCGTCCACTCTTCGTGCCCTGAGGGACAGTGGCAGCGGGACATGGGGACATGGGGCACTGCCCTTCGCACCCTGAGGGGACACTGGAGAGGGCACAGGGACAGTGGGGCACTGTGCTCACACTGCCAGGGCACCACCTGCTCTTTGTGTCCTGAGGGGCAGGAGGACAGTGGCACTGGAACATGGGGACATGGGGCACCACCCGCTCTTTGTGTCCTGAGGGGCAGGGGGACAGTGGCACTGGGACATGGGGACACGATAGTTGGGGCACTGGCCACTCTTCATGCCCTGAGGGGACACCGCGGTGGGGACACAAGGACAGTTGAACAATGTTCTGGCAGCGTCTGCTCTTGGTGACGCGGGGACACACAGTGGGCCACTCTGGTGGAGGACACGGGGACTGTACCACAGACTGGAGACACAGGGATTGTTTCAGTGGCAGGATGTGGTGCTAGAGCTGGGGTCACACGAGTTATGCCACAGGTGAGGGGACATGGTGACACCCAGCTGGGGGGACACAGTGCGGGGAACCTGGACTGGGACAAAGACAGCACACGGTGACACTCAGGGTGACACAGAGCTGATGTCCCCAAGCCCACCTGTGCCCCGTGTCACCCTTGGTGCTGTTCCCCATCAGTGCCACATCCCAGAGCTGTAAATAGGGGAAGGGGGGAGGGACATGAGGGTGGGACCCTGGGGGAGGGAGGAGGTGACACCAGGACCCCTTGTGGAGTGGGGTGGGGGCACAGATGGGGCTGGACTCTGAATAAAGTTGTGTTTTGGGGGGACCTGGTCATTGGTTTTACAGGTTGCAAAAATGGGGTGGGGGGGAAGTTCTCCAAGGGAGGGGGTAGGCACAACCCCAGGAGAGAGACCAGAAACCCCTTGGGGAGGGCAAAAAGCCCCCATGTGGGGGAGTTTGGGGGGCTCAGGGATTTGGAGGGTCCCGGGTCAGTCCCTGCAAAGCCTTAAAGGACAGGGGGAGTGACAGAGGAAATTTGTGGGTCAAAAAAGAGGTCTCAAAACTTGGAAGGGATTGCAGGAAGGTCCCAAATTAGGAGGAGGTCGAGGAGACCCCAAAACTGGGAAGGGCTCCCATTTAAGTGGGGAGGGGGATTGGGGGACACCAAATTCTGTGGGTGCAGCTGTGGCAGAGCCTTCCCCCCCCCCCCCCCCCACCCCCAATACCCCAAGTTCTTCCTCTCAAAACCCCTCAAAAACCCCCAGATCCCACTCAGAGCTGTCTCTCCTTTATTCCAGGGACTGGTACAAAATGGGGAAGTGTTGGGATTTCAGGGGGGCTGCACCCCCAATCCCCCAACAAGATTTTTGGGGTGGGGGGCTATGCCTTGGCACAGCCCGGGAGCCCTGCGGCACCATCAGTGGCTGCAGCTTCTGCGTCATCTCCAGCGTGGCCAGGGGGAAACGTGGGGGGCAAGGGGGCTGCAAAGTGGGGACGAGGCAGGGGACAAGGAGGGAACTCGGAGGGGACCCTCCTAAAATTGTGAATGGCGCAGGATTTCTCCAGAACAAAGCTGCCAGCAGTTTGGACTCAGTTTGCCCTTGGAGTGCCAGAGCCCTCCTCGGAGCAGACATCGAGACACGGCAGGAGGTGAGTTTTGTTTTGCACAGAAAAGGGCTGGAATTGGTGTCCGGGGCCTGTGGCCCTGAGTGGGAACCGCCAGCAGAAATTCAGAACAGTGCAGGATATGCCCCAGACCTGAGCGGCCACCACCTCGAACTTGTGCTGCCCTGATAGACCCAAGGGAGCCCTACAAACTGACATCAGGAACCTGGACTGCTGAGTTTTCTTTCCCAGGGAAAATGGCCAAAGGATGTGCCCAGGGGCCCCTGG